GGCGTGGGAGGGCAGCAGGGGGACAGGTGCGGGCTGCACTATGCGGGGGCTCCCGACGTGGCATCCGCCTCCATGCTTTTGCGAATCGTGTGCGGCTGCGCCGCGCGTGCGTCGGCGGCGCACGTGGTTGGGTCCCGCATCGTCCTGCGCGAGGCGAGCACCTGCATCCCAGCCCTGCGCGCCGCCCGGATCTCCCGCAGGTGCTCCAGGTTGGTGTTCTTCCTTTTTACTGGCTTCGGCATGACTGGCGCATAGTGCACGGCTCCGAACCGCATGAGCTCCACGAACAGCTGCTGCGGTAGCTGCAGGGTCTCGGCCAGGATCTGGCTCAGCGGCGCCCTCTGCTCGATGGTGACGTGCTTGATGGGCGAGGCCAGGGCTTGCCGCCCCTCCAGCGGTGGTACGCGAACGGCGTCAAACACGGACGCATCTTGCGCGGCCGTGTCAGACGCATCAGGCGCTGCCGATGATAGTGCCATGGCAGGCCTCAGGAGGGCGGCGGGCGCCGCTCGCATAGCACGCAGCACAGCGCCCGCGCCGCACAACATGGCCGCCGCCATCACACGGCCGAGCCAGAGCGTGTCAGCTGCGCGACTTAACTAAAAGATTGTGCCGATTATAGCGATGTTGCTGATATGATGACAGTACTCCTTTAGCCCAAAGAACTATCAGATCAGCCCAATGGAAAAGCCAGCTCCCACCCTTGTCCTCGAAAAAGGGCCATTGCTTGGAAACTTGAGCACCATTACGGCGGACATTGCAATCCTATCAAAAAAACCACTGACAAACCACCAAGGCACCAGCGGAAGCCGTCTAGGCGTCCTCCTCCCTGGCACCGCCTTTCCCCGTAAGTACGCAATGTACTCCTCCACAACGTTTTTAAGCACTTGAGTTGCACATGGAATACGTCTGCTGGCCTGCAGGGCGCTGTTTCGGGGTTTTGCCGAGGAAACTCGCTCGGAGGCGCTCAGCCACGTGCGACTGCAGGTGCGAACGCTGTGCTGCGCCCGCTGCCGCCGCGTCTTCGAGGTCGCCATCACGCGGGATGACCGGCCAAGCACGTGTGCTTCCCGCTACGACTTTAAGGCGCTCAGACGTAGCAGGCGACTGGTGCCACTCACGCCGCTCGGGCGTGGAAGCAATCAGTGCATGGCGCGCAGGGCGCTCAGGCGACGGCTGCGTTCGGTGCCGCCCGAGTCGCTCAAACGTGACATGCAGTGTAGCGTGGGACACGCACACAACCATGGTGGTGAGTGATGCCTCAGTCCCTCAGGCGTTCGAAGTATTCAGTGCAGCGGTAGCGGGGTACTCTGCATGCAGAGCGCTTCAACCTTCCAGTGTTCCAAGGACACAGCACAGCGGATCGGAGCGGCGGTGCAGCTCGTTGCGCCGCCGTTGGCACACCAAAATCCAGGTCAAGGCATCCAACATTGAGAAATTTGTTTCCGCAGAGCGAGTCGCGAGTGCGGGTCTCTCAGCGGGTTGCCTTTTGGCAAACGCGTTGCACGCAGTAGGGCATCATGGGCCGCTCAGCTGCAAGCGAGAGCTTGTCCCGCGCAGGCAAAGCTGATGGCTGCTTGCAATTTCCCCCGCCTCAATTGTCCTCGACACACGGCACCGGCGCAGATCGCATCAGCGTCCATTAGCAGTACTCTGAGCTCCTGCATGGGTCGTGCAGCTGGAGGTGTCAGCACATGTTCGAGCACTGACCTGCGCCGCAGACTTGCTGAGCAGTACCCAGTGGGTTTTAGGGCCTGTATGAAACCCATTTACAAACACGAGACATCAGAGACTCTTCCGGAAAACCCAGGCGCCGCAGCAGCCAACAAAGCCACCGCCGCGCCGCTGCTTCATGCGCAAGGCAGCGGCACGCCGTGTTGTCCGGTCGCCTGCTGCGTCAGGCACCCAGCAGCACAGCCAGTAGCCCGCGGCCCACTCCTGTACGCTGCGGCGCTCAAGCCATGAAGCAACCGTTGCACACCTCTTTTGTGTTGTTGTTACACAGGCGGACCACCAGTGTCGCTGCCGCGCGCAACGCCTGCGCCGCTGCTGCTGCTGCCACCCTCTTCGGCCCCCTCTGCCCGCCACCACGGCGTGCCCGCAACGAACTCCACCCACCCGTCGGCCCGCATGTGCCCCTGCCCCGCGCCCATGTGACCCTCAGGGTCATAAAGGGCCAGCCTGGCCGCCTGCAGCCCGATTGGCCGCAGTGGGTCCGCCTGGGCCGCGCGGCTCCAGGCGGCAGCGTCATCCCCCACAATAAACGGAGCCGAGTCGCCCACGGGCGGCACCTCTGTGCCGCTGCTGGCAGTCTCCTCGACAACAACCCCCTCTGCCTGCTGCTGCTGCTGCTGCTGCTGCTGCTGCTGCTGCTGCTGCTGCTGTTGCTGCTGCTGCGCCTCCTCTTCCTGCAGCTGCCGCTGCCTCCGCGCGACCGCCTGATACAGCAGGTCCCCTAGCAACGGGCAGCCCTCTGCCGCCAGCTGCGCGCGTATCTGGTGGGTGCGCCCCGTCACGAGCCGGATGTCGCACTCAAACGCCGCCGCCCCGTGCTCCGCCGCGGCGGGGCCGCTCAGAGCAATCTCGCGCACCTGGCGGCATGGCAAGGCGAGGGGGCACCGTTTGGATCGGGATCAGGCGGCCGCTCGCGCGTTGGGCAGTCGTGTCCAGGACAGCACGGCGCCGCCGCAGCAGCCCCAATGACGAAACCATTCAACGCAGCTTATGGAGGCTCTTGCATCCGCTCAAGCCTGGAGAGCTTTGGTGTGCTCATCTGGATGGCAGGTGCCCGCCCGCGCAGCCCTGCACAAGCGCGCCCCCCGCCCCATCACCTCCAGCACCTCCATCTCGCACCGCGCCGACCCCTCTGTCGCCGCCCTGCGCATGACTGTGTGCGGCGGCTCCCCGGGCGCGTGCGCGTTGGTGAGCGCGTGGTGCACCAGCACGCCCAGCGGCGGCCGCGCCAGCGTGACGGCGCGGTATATCTTCCGCACGCGTACGCTCGGCGCCGCTGCGGCGTCGGTGGCAGCGACGACCGCGGCGCCGCCGTCGCTGCTGCCGAGGCCCTGGCCCGTCTCCGTGCCGCCACGGCCGGCGTCTTCCCGGCCGCTGCCCCGCTCGCCCGCGCCCACTGGCCCGCCGCCTTGCCCGCCGCCCTCGCCGCCGCCGCCGGCGGCCGCGGCGCCGGCGCGGCGCCTCGCCTTCAGCGCTAGCCGCTCCGCCTTGCGCTCCGCCTTGGCCGCAGCGGCCGAGGCAGCGGCTGCGGCGCTCTCATCCACCCCGCCCTTCTCGCCCATCATCTTGGTGAACCAATGAGTGAACCCCAGGTCGCCCCGCCCCAGCACCACCACGCCCGACGTGCCGGCATCCAGCCGGTGCAGCCCGTGCAGGCAGCCGGGCGGCAGCCCGAGCGCGGCCGCCGTTCGGGCGGGGACGCTCTCGAGGACGTTGTCAACCGTCGGTGGCACCTGAAAACGGCGGCGGTCAACAGCAGGGGGTGGCGGTCAACAGCTCGAGCGGCGGCTCGGCCGACCGGCGAAGTGTTGTCTGACCGCAGAGCGGGTGTGAGCGGGAGGGGAGGGGTGATGCGGCGGCGGCGGTCGGCATGCACGGGGGCTGACTTGACACGGTGCGATGGAACGCGCACCTGCAGCCCTGGAGGCTTGTCCACCACGACACAGTGGGGTCCGACATGGAGCATGCGCGCCCGCCAGTCAACCCTGGTGGTGTTGGGTTGTTGTTCGGTGGGAGGGAGGGGAAGTTTGGGTGCCGAGTGAGGGGCGCGAGCATCGCGAGCATTGAGCTAGGGCAGCTACGCAAAGTGGCGGCACGTGCAGGGCATGGTGTATATGTGCGTGCGTACGAGTGCATGCGTGAGAGTGTGTGTATGTGATTGTGCGCAGGGTGTGTATGTGTATGTGTAATTGTGCGTATGTGTGCGCGAGCACACGTGTGTGTGGGTGTGTGTGTGCGCGCGCGCGGTTGAATGTGCGCACGTGCGTCACCTGTATGCGACCGGAAACCGCTTGGGCTGCAGGTGGACGCGCGCGTAACCGCCAGGCGTGACTTCTTGATCAAGCAGCACCCTGCGCGGCACCTGCAGCTTGGGGGAGGGTCCCCATGCCTGGAGGGAGAGGAGGAGGGCGGGGCCTTGGGAGGACTGGGGAATGAGGAGCTGGGAGGGGGAAGCGGGGAGTACAAGGCGGGGTCAGGGGTGCAGGGAAGTCGGGGCGCACCGTGCGCGAGCTTCCGGCGTGGCATTTGCCGCATGCCCTGCGCCCCATGCGCGGCGCGGCGCGCATGTACTGAGGCGCATGCGCAAGAGTCGGGCGTGCCGGCGGCCCTCGCGATTCGTCCCGCAGCACCCTGCGCAAAACAAGCACCTGCATTCCAGCAATGCGAGCTGCCCGCGCCGCCTGCAACTGCTGCTCGCTCATTGGCGCCTTTTCGGCGGGCTTCGGCATGACGGGCGCGTAGTACACGGCGCCGAATCGCATGAGCTCAAGGAACAGCTGCTGCGGCAGCTGCAGGTGCTGGGCCAGGACATGACTCAGCCGGCCGCCCTGCTGTATGACTACGTGCTCAACACGCGAGCCGAGCTGCGTCTCCAGCGGGGGTATGCGCACGGCGTTGAACGCGGCCGCGTCTTGCGTGGGTGTCGCGGCTGACGACAGCGCCATGGCGGGCCTCAGGAGACAGGCGGGCGCCGCGCGAATTGCTCGCGACACAGCGCCCGCCCTGCACACCGCGGCCGCCACCGTCTTGACGGCCGCCGAGCCAGAGCGTCTCAGACGGGCCGCTTAGATTCAAAGATTTGTGTACACTTCCAAAAATTTTGCTGATACAATGGCCGCAACGCGTCCTTCTAGTCAATAGATGCGCGCCCAGATCTACCTGCGCGCATATCACATCACGCGCTATTCAATCAACTCAGCGAAAATTAGAGACAGTTTTGCCCTTGAGATTGCCCAGAGTAACTCGCCTCACCCGATTCACCTAGCCGTGCAAGAGCTGTCGCATTCAGGAACGCGCCGGCGTGGGGCGGGCGCAGCGGTTTCTCAAAGGGGCTGTGGAGGTCTTAGGTGCGCTGCTCTGCTCGTGCCCTGCGGCACGCCGCCCTGCACGGCTGTTAGACCGTGCGCAACGCGGCGTGGCCCTGAAGCGCACAGTGCGCGCCCCCAGAGGCAGCACTGCAAGCCATGCAGCAGCAAATCTCTTTTGCAGAATTACGTGTGCCTCTTCGCCCCTCTGCATCTCCAACCCATGCACCCCTCGTCCACGTGCCGCTGCCCTGCAGCGCTGGTTTCTGCCGCAGCGAGCGCGGCGGCGCCAGCCCCAGCCCGGCCCCCTCCACGCCCCGGTCCGCCCACGAGCAGTGCGGCCGCGGCCGCGCCCTTCCTAGGGCCCGCGGGGCGCCCATCGCCGCGGCCAGCTGGGGATGACGGTGCAGGGCGCGGCGTCCCCGGGTATGCTCAAGGTGCTCATAGTGGGCGCGCATGACCTCGAAAACGTCGCCCCCGACGGCGCCGAGCAGCAACCGTTTTACATCTTGGAGTGCGGCGCGCAGCGCAGCCGCTCCAAGGCGGCGCGCCGCGGCGGCTGCACGAGCCCGGAGTGGCACACGGCCCACAGATTTGCGGTGTCGGATGAGGTGGCGGTCAACGCGGTCATCAAGGACGAGTTGACCAAGGAGCTGATAGGGGAGGGGTCGATCGACCTGGAGAGGTGGGCGGACGGTCACATGAGTGCTCGGGTGGCTGGGTGGCTGGGTGGCTGGGTTGGCGGATGCATGAGTGGGTTGACTAGTGGATGGGTGACTGAGGGGTTACTGCCACCATTGACTCTGCCTGTGCGCGCGGTGGGGCCTGCATCGGGTGCAGAGGATGGATTTGAATAACAAAGGCCGCGGACATGCCGCTGCATTCAGCGCTCAGCTGCCGCGGCAAGGAGGCAGCGGCGCGCCACCCAAGCGCGTGCGTCCGCCCGCGACCGCGCCCGCGCTCGCGCAACGCAACCGGCCCCAACCTTCTGCAGGGCGCGCGCGACAGGCCGCGACGAGAGTGTCGTGCTGCTCACCACCCACGGCGGCGGCGCCAGGGGTCTCCTGCAGTACAAAATAAAGTTCGTGGCGGCCGAGGGCATGGTACCGCCGCCTTCGGCTGCCGCGCCGCCCGCGCGGGGACCCGCGCTCGACCGCCTGAGCCTCGGCGGCGGCGGGCGCTCCTACGCGCAGAGCCTAGTCAGCGACGCCGACGACGGGTCGGTGTCGGTTGCGGCTTCCGCGGCGGAAGCTGCCGACGGGGAAGTCGCGGGGACGCCGGCGTCCGCCCGGCTGCCCGCGGGGCTCGAAGGCGTCGAGCCGCGCCTGCTTCTGCCGAACGGAAGCTGCGCGGAAGCTGCGCCGGACTTGGCCTCCGACCAGGCCGTGCGCGAGGCGGAGGAGCGCGCGTCGCGCGCCAAGGCGGCGCTGCGGCAGCTGACGGCTGAAATAGAAGAGATGGTGGCGGGCCGCGGCCCCGGCCGCAGCGGTGGCGGCAACGGCGGCGGCGGGAGTAGCGGCGGCGGGACGGGCACAAGCACGCCGAGCGTTTCGGGGCCGCTGCCTCGCGTCTTGGAGCGCCACACGTTCGGCCGCGCGCCCTTCGGCCCGCTGCAGGCCAGCCAGCCGCAGCAGCAGCAGCACCAGCAGCAAAAGCAGCAGCAGGAGCAGGAGCAGCAGCAGGAGCAGGAACAGCAGCAGCAGCACCTCAAACGCCTGACGCATGCGCCGGAGGCGCCGCGGCACCATGCCGCCGGCTCAGAGCAGGCGACATCCCCGAGCACGGTGCACCGCGCCCTCAACAGCGGCAGCAGCAACAGCGGATGGGCGCCCGCCTCAACTTCGAGCGCCGGCTCCGACGCCCCCGCCGGCGGGCCGGGCGGCGGCCGAGAGGATGCAGCGGAGCCAGCGGCGGCGCCGCGGGGCGGCCGCGTTTGGGAGGTCGCCGCCGCCGACGGGCCGCGGCAAGCGCGGCGGTTTGTGCCGTATGCGCAGCGCGTTGAGCGTGAGCAGCCCACGCAGCACGAGCAGCAGCAGGTCGGGGCCAAGCCGGCGCCAGAGCAGGCGGGGGCGCTTGAGAAAATTGTGGCGGAGTACGCGAGGAGCGCCGCGCGGCAGGTGGGGGCTGCGGACGTATGTTGCGTGCCGCATTGCAGCATTGAAAAAAAATTGCCGTCGAGGGGCGCGCGATCGCGGGGCTCCTGCGCGGCGTAAGCTAACGGACGTCTGGGCGGGTTTCGAATTAGAACAAGGGGATACTGTGGGATGCGCAGTCGGGCACGTGCACGTGCGTTTAGATTGGGACCTTCTGGGTTGATTGATATGCGGCAGGTGCAATCAGGGGAAAAGCAAGCGCTATTTGATGGGCGGTGCAGGCCTGTGCTGTGCGCAGCGTGCGGAGGCCCGCGCGCCTGCAGGGGTCGAGGCGCTGGCCGGCGGCGCATGGAGCTGTACATTGCTAGGTCATGCGCGTTCAACACTGTCAAGCAGACATATAATCGAGGCGAGCGGGCTCCCACGCGCACCACGTGACTCCCAGCCGCAGGGGCCGGCCGCGCTGGAGGGCGCTGGGAAGCTTCTCAGTCCCCTCCTGCTGGGGGAAGCTCTGGAGGCGGTGCATGCTGAGAAGGTGGGGCCCGCTCTGGTGCTCATATCGCAGCGCTGCGGGGCCCGACCGCCGTAGTTTGTTTTGGGGGGGAGGGATGTGATGCCTCGTGACACGCCTGCTGGAGGGTGCGAGCGCGACAGCAGCCGGCGGCGCAGGCTGGGCGCGCCTGCCGTCCGCGCCCACCCGCGGCGCCGGCGCGCCGCGCCTGCCAGCGCTTCAGCCCCGCCGCTTGCGCGCCCGCCCGCCCGCCGCGACGCACCCCCGCTGCGCCCGCCCACCCACCGCGCCCACGCTCCGGTGTAGACCGCTTTGGAGCAGCAGCTGGCCAACGCGAAGCTGTCAATGGCGGCGATGAGTCACCAGCACTGCGAAGACCTCAAGCAGGCCCGCAGCTCTGCGGGGCCCACCCTGTCCGGCGGCGGCGGCGGCGGCGGCGGTGGTCTGGGCTCGCCAGGGGCGCTCGCGGCGTCCGTCCGCGTGCCGGCGCCGCCGGCGTCCCCGGGCCTGCTGTACCGATTGATTCGCGCGCCGCGGCCGGCGGCTGCGCCGGGGGTGAAAGAGCCGGTGAAGTGGCCGGCGGCTGCGTCGGACGGGGAGCGGCCCGCGGCGCCGGGGGCGACGCGGAAGCTTGAGGCGCAGGTTGATCAGCTGGAGCGCGCGCTGGCGGCGCAGACGGCTAGGGTGGAGGCGCAGGTGCGTGTAATCAGCAGAGGCGTTCCAATCTGCTCGCACCACCCCCCTGCTCATCTAGCGCGGCGGTGTGCCAGGCAGACCCTTCCGCCAATAAACTCCTCTGTCGAACATCTTCATCGTCCGGAACCCACATCCATCCACACTCCACGCGTCGATCGCACGCCACCACCAGGCCGCGGAGCTGCGGTCGCTCAGATTTGAGCTGGAGGCCGCGCGCGCCGCCAGCCGCGACGCGGCGGCGCGCGCGGACGCGGCCGTGCACGACGCCGACGAGCGCGCCAGGTGCGGCGGCACGCGGGCCGGCAGCGGGGGGCGGGGGCCGGCGCGCTCGTGCCTGCTTGAGACAGGCCGGGGTGGATTGTGAGAGGGGGGGGCGTGGACGTGAGTTTCAGGCGCATGTGGCCGGCGACGCGGGGCTTAGTGGCAGGCTGGAGCGCTGAGGGTGTGTGAAGCAGCGCGTAGAGCAGCAGCAGCAGCAGCAACAACAGCAGCAGCAGCAGCAGCAATGACAGCGGTAGCGGCAGCGGCAGCGGCAGCGGCAGCGGCAGCGGCAGCGGCAGCGGCAGCGGTAGCGGCAGCGGCAGCACCAGCAGCAGCGCCTGCCAAAGCCCTGGAGACAGGCTGTCAGCCATCCCCCACGCCTGCCGTTCGTGCCCGTATTATCCTCCCTGTCATCCCCCCTTCAAATCCTCCACCTCTCATCCCCATTCAACCTTGCTCACCTAATCAAAGAGAGTCCGACGCCCAGGCTGCGAGGGCCGCAGCAATGCTGGCGACCGTGCGGGGGGAGCTGAGCGCGGCCCGCACTGGTGCAGAGGGCGCAGCCCGGAGGTGCGCGCACCTCAACCCCCCTTGCCACCGCTGCCGCTGCCGCCGCCGTCGCGCAAGTGCACGAGGCCGGACGGGCGCTCGTTGGTTGTGCCTGCTACGCGAGCTGCCTGTGCTGCGCGGCGACGCCAGCCGCGGCCTTGCCGGCGTGCGGAGTCACAAGCTGTCGTCTTATTGATGCCAGCTTTCACCACAAACCTCATGGCGCCAATGCTTCTCCATATGCACACCACTGGCGAGCGAAGGCCCACTCCAGACCCCAGACCCACCCACGCAAGCCGCGCTCACCAACCAACACATCCGCTTGCATATGCTTCCCCGCCCCCACCCGCACGAACCTTCTTTCCACGCGCACGCACGCACGCACGCACGCATGCAAGCGCGCGCACACACACACACACACACACACACACACACGCACCCACACACACACACACACACGCGCGCGCACACACAACCTCAGGGAGGCGTCCCTGACTTCACAACTGACGGGCTTCAAGACGACGCTGGAGGCTGCGCGGCGCGACAAGGCGCGCGCTGAGCAGCAGCTCGCGTCCGCTGAGGCCCGAATCAACCGGGAGCGCTCCGAGATGCGGGTGCGCGCGACAGGCATGGCTTGCTATTTTTTGCTGGGAATGGATGGGGGTGCGTCTGGGCAAGCCGCTCGCTGCTGAGCTGCGGTTTGTCATGTGTGCACGCGCCTGCATGTGTGTGCGTGTGTGTGTGTTGGGGTGTGTGTGCGTGCGTGTGCGTGCGTTTGCGTGCGTGCGTGCGTGCTTGTGTCGGGGGGCCGTGGTGTGGGACAGGTGTGCATGGTGCTGCCTGGCCACGTGAGGCGGGGGCCAACCGGCCGGCCGACACAGCACGTCACGTCCAACCAAGGCTTTGTCAGCGGGGCTGCAACGCACCCTCGCACGCTTTGATGCTGGCCTGAAATCGCCAAGTCCTCCCTCCACAGATGAATTCTCCCGCGTTTCAAGCTCGCATACACACCAAAACTCTGCCCTTCTCCCTCTGTGTGTATTTGTATGTGTCACTACCTCAAGCGCATATCCTCACGCAACCACACACATACACACACACACACACACACACACACACACACACACACACACACACACAGATCGACCTGTCGTGCGCACGCGAGCAGGCCGCGCGGCTGCAGAGCCAGGCGGCAGAGGTCGGCGTGCTGCGCCAGCAGCTGGCGGCGGCGCAGGAGGAGCTGCGGGCGCGCAAGGGGCACGCCGACGAAGCAGAGTACCTCCATCAACAGGTGCGACTGGGCGGCCCCTGCGCGCGCGGCGCTGTTGCATGTATAACCAGTGATGCGCTTGCTGCTCGGGGCTGAGCCGCGTACGGCTGTCTGGGCAGGGGTTTGCTTCGCAAGGGGTGTGGGTGCCTGCATACGGCGCGCCGTTGGTCGGTGAGGGGGGACTTTTGTTCAGAACGCCGCCGAATCCTCCTGCTACTCCACCTACTTGCCCGCGCCCCTCTTGACGCCGCCCCTCCCGCCCCGCCGCCCCCACC